GTGTTCACAGCACTGTTTTGTACTCGTCTGCGTTCACAGCACTGTTTTGTACGGGATTGTGTTCACAGCACTGTTTTGTACACGCCTGTGTTCACAGCACTGTTTTGTACGGGCCTGTGTTCACAGCACTGTTTTATATGCGCCTGTGTTCACAGCACTGTTTTATACGCGCCTGTGTTCACAGCACTGTTTTGTACGGGCTTGTGTTCACAGCACTGTTTTGTACACGCCTGTGTTCACAGCACTGTTTTGTACGGGCCTGTGTTCACAGCACTGTTTTATACGCGCCTGTGTTCACAGCACTGTTTTATACGCGCCTGTGTTCACAGCACTGTTTTATACGCGCCTGTGTTCACAGCACTGTTTTGTACACGCCTGTGTTCACAGCACTGTTTTGTACACGCCTGTGTTCACAGCACTGTTTTGTACTCATCTGTGTTCACAGCACTGTTTTGTACACACCTGTGTTCACAGCACTGTTTTGTACACACCTGTGTTACCAGCACTGTTTTGTACGGGCCTGTGTTCACAGCACTGTTTTGTACACGCCTGTGTTCACAGCACTGTTTTGTACACGCCTGTGTTCACAGCACTGTTTTGTACACGCCTGTGTTCACAGCACTGTTTTGTACGGGCCTGTGTTCACAGCACTGTTTTATACGCGCCTGTGTTCACAGCACTGTTTTATACGTGCCTGTGTTCACAGCACTGTTTTGTACGGGCCTGTGTTCACAGCACTGTTTTGTACACGCCTGTGTTCACAGCACTGTTTTGTACACACCTCTGTTCACAGCACTGTTTTGTACACGCCTGTGTTCACAGCACTGTTTTGTACACGCCTGTGTTCACAGCACAGTTTTGTATGCTTCAGCCACCACAGTACTGTTTTGTATGCGTCTGTGTTCACAGCACTGTTTTATACGCTCATGTGTTCACAGCACTGTTTTGTACACGCCTGTGTTCACAGCTCAGTTTTGTATGCTTCAGCCCTCACAGTACTGTTTTGTATGCGTCTGTGTTCACAGCACTGTTTTGTACTCGTCTGTGTTCACAGCACAGTTTTGTATGCTTCAGCCCTCACAGTACTGTTTTGTATGCGTCTGTGTTCACAGCACTGTTTTATACGCGCATGTGTTCACAGCACAGTTTTGTACTCGTCTGGGCTCACAGCACAGTTTTGTATGCTTCAGCCCTCACAGTACTGTTTTGTATGCGTCTGTGTTCACAGCACTGTTTTATACGCGCCTGTGTTCACAGCACTGTTTTGTACTCGTCTGTGTTCACAGCACTGTTTTGTACACACCTGTGTTCACAGCACTGTTTTATACGCGCATATGTTCACAGCACTGTTTTGTACTCGTCTGGGCTCACAGCACAGTTTTGTATGCTTCTGCCCTCACAGTACTGTTTTGTATGCGTCTGTGTTCACAGCACTGTTTTGTACTCGTCTGGGCTCACAGCACTGTTTTGTACGGGCCTGTGTTCACAGCACTGTTTTGTACACACCTGTGTTCACAGCACTGTTTTATACGCGCATATGTTCACAGCATTGTTTTGTATTCGTCTGTGTTCACAGCACAGTTTTGTATGTTTCAGCCCTCACAGTACTGTTTTGTATGCGTCTGTGTTCACAGCACTGTTTTGTACTCGTCTGGGCTCACAGCACAGTTTTGTATGCTTCAGCCCTCACAGTACTGTTTTGTATGCGTCTGTGTTCACAGCACTGTTTTATACGCGCATGTGTTCACAGCACTGTTTTGTACTCGTCTGTGTTCACAGCACAGTTTTGTATGTTTCA